GACCCACCGGCAGGCTGGTGAAGCGCTGTCCCTCCCGCAGCACATGCAGGTACTGCCGCAAGTCCCGCAGGCGCCCGCGCAGGGACGAGCGATTCCGGGTGACCTCTCGCAGCTCCTGCGCCAGCTGCCTCGCTCGCTCCTGCAACGCAGCGCTTCCCGCGCCAGCGGCGCCGCGGGCTCTCGGGGCCCGCCCAGCACCGCACCTGCGCCCCGCAGCTCCTGCTGCAGGAAGGCTGGGGAACGGGGGGGAGAACATGGTCACAGTGGAGGGCTTAAGGGGGGGATACCCCTAAGAAGCCCCCCCAGTCAGCCCCGTGCCCCCCGCGGCACTCACTGAAGGTTTTCTCCATGTCCTCACAGCGCCGCACCTCGCCCACGAAGCGCCGCTGGAAGGGGCTCACTTTGGGGTTCAGCTGTGGGAGGGGGGACAATCAGGGCACGGCCCCACGGGATGGGGAGTCCAGCATCCCGGGGTGACAGGCAGTACAGGCACCTCAAAACACCATCCCAAATTCCCGGCACCTCAACCCAGCCTGATCAAGCTTTTCCTGCTCCCAGGCACCCCAAAACAACCCTCCTTTGCACCATAAGTACCACCATCAACCGCCCAAACAGCCTGCACACCAAACCCCCCAGATCAATTCCTGTCCAAAACACCCAAAACACCTATCCCAAACCCAGATCCATCAGACCCACCCGCCAGGAACACTCCCAAAGGCCCACACACGCCCCCCCCACACCCCTACTTACATCCTGAATCCAGCCGCCCCACCCGCCCCGGGCTTTCCCCCCCCCCAGCTCGCTGATGCATGCTGTAGGCAGAGGCGGACTGAGGAAGAGCTGGGCCAGGCAAACCTCCTCGCTGCGGAACAGGGACCCCATGGCCTCCCCAGACCCCCAGAGACCCCCAATCCGGCTCGGGGTGCGGAGGCGTCAGGGCACCCGCCCGGGGATGGGATGGAACGGTACAACAGGGAACGGGATGGGATGGGAATGGGGGACTGAGAGACAGGGGGGGTGAGGGTTGGGAAGGAGAACACCAGGGCAGGGGGGGTCACCCCAGGCGTCACCCCGGGGGTCCCGGAGGCGGCGGCGGCGGCACCGCGGTGTCGCTTTGCTGTGGCCGTGGGAAACCGACCCGCTCCGGTCACACGCGGCTCTTCCCAGCACCGGGCTGGCAAAATACTTTCCAGACCTCCTATTTCCCCACAGTCCCCGCCCCGCTCAGCTGCCTCTGGAGTCAGGGCCAGCGAACCCCGCCCGGACCGCCCGGCCCCGCTCCGGGGCACCACCCCCCTGCCTGCCCACCTGCGCGGAGCGGGCGGGATCCGCACTTCCTCTACCGCAGGAAGAGCCCGCCCGGGGAGCGGACCGACGGGCCCGGCCCCCGGCGCCCAACGGGAACCCCGCTCGGGACATTCCTACACCGCGGTGGGAAGGGCCCCTCGGAGACAGGACCGCCTTGCGACATCCCCGAGGAGGAATGGCAATGGGAAACAAGCCCCGCCCCCCCCCCCGGAGCCGGGAAACCCGCCACCGAGTACGACCAGGCACACATCCGGCAGTGCCACAAGGACTCCATATCCAGATCACCAGGCACGCTCACATTGGTATCACTGGGACCTCCATACCGAAACCACCAAGACTCCCACACTGGTACCACTGGAATCTCCATACCAATACTATCAGGATTCCCCAGGTGGGATCACTGAGACCCCCAGGACTCCCACACCAGTACCACCAGGACCCCCACACTGGTATCACTGGGACCTCCATACCAAAACCATCAGGACCACTCCTGTCAGGGAGGTTGGACCCCCACACTGGTACCACTGGGATCCCCGTGCTGGGATCACACTGAGACCCCCATGATGGGATCACTGGGACCCTCCTGCCAGGATGACCAGGACCCCCACACCAGTACCACCAGGATCCCCCTGCTGGGACCACCCAGACCCTCAGACTAGCACCACTAGGACCCACACAACAGTACCACCAGGCCCCCCCATACCTGGCAGCCCCTAGAAGCTGGAAATGAGTCTCCCAGCTCTCCCCCAGTTCCCTCCCAACGCTGCTGCTCCATCCCTGCCCACCCCTCATCCCATCCCACACCTTTCTGTGCAACCCACTCCCCCACCCCAGGGTTGGTGTCACCCCCAGGACCCTCGTCCTCCTCCTCAAAACACAACCACACACCCAGGGATCCCCCAGGGGCTCAGGGGGTCAAACCCCAGCACTGGAAAGGAAAAGACACGGAGCTGCGGGTCGGGAAGGGGCCGGTGCCCCCGGTGGCGGGTGAACCCCCAGACCCTTTATTTGGTGGTGGGTGGGTGCCGGGGGGGCCGTCACCGGTACAGGTAATCGGCCTGGATGTTGGCAGCGATCTCGGCCTCCCACTTGTCGCCGTTGTTGAGCAGCTTCTCCTTGTTGTAGAGCAGCTCCTCGTGCGTCTCCGTCGAAAACTCGAAGTTGGGACCCTGCCAGGGTGGGAGGAGGGGGGGTCACCCTGGGTCAGGGTGGTGGGGAAGAGGGTCCGTAGACACCCCAAAGCCCCGCTCACCTCCACGATGGCCATCTACACGGGACAGGCCTCCTGGCAGAAACCCGCAGTAAGATGCAACTTGGTCATGTCCGACCTGTCGTAGCGGGTGGTGGCGGCGGCTTGCCGCGGCGCGGGGCTCGCCTCGATGGTGATGGCCTGGCGCGGGGACAGCGTCAGCCCCGGAGCCCCTGGGCGGCGGGAGCAGGGGGAGGAAGGCTCACCTGTGCCGGGCACACGGCCTCGCAGAGCTTGCAGGCAATGCAGCGCTCCTCCCCGGACGGGTAGCGGCGCAGCGCGTGCTCCC